ACAGATCGGTGCCACTCAAGCCTATTTAATTACTCTCTCTTGCAAAAAATAAAAGGTAAGGTGTTGATAGGTGAACCCAGAATTCAGGACTTAGTCTCAAAAAAATAAGTGGAAGAAACAGCCAGGCCCTGTACATCGTAAGTGCGAACCAGTCTTTGTCTCTTGTTAGGCGTCTCAAGCCAACAGAACTCCAAATGGAAAGATTTTGACTCTGCAACACTTTTTGACACGTCACAAGGACACCCCATGTACATCCCTCCCGGCAACAGCGTAACCTGGTATCCTCCATCAAATGTAACCAAATTCTCTGACATTGTACCCTTCCACTCCACATTTGTAGTCACGTTTGCATTTTCCTTGTTCGATGTTGAAGTCACAACCTGATACACAAAAGCAGCAAGCTGTTCATTTTACAATATCAAAGTAAAGTGAAAGCCCTCCTCATGAAGTTTACGAACTTTGAAACTTCTCTAATTGAAATATCTGTTTTGGTTTCATTCTTTAGCAGTTATATTTTCTCTTAATTTTCATCTGCTTGTGCCTTGAGGTGTAAGAGTGACATACCTGATTAAGCTGGCCATCGTCATCCATTTCAAGTGACACAACTGTATCAGCTTCAGCAATCGTAGATCCATATACACCACTACGTTTTGTAACAGAATGGCCTTTCCACTCGCCAAGAAAGGGTAAAATCTTACTCTCTTTGTCCTGCCATGAATCCAAAACAAGAAAATGTGTCACACGTGAAAGAAACAACCAACAAAGAATTACTCAGTCATCAAGCTATTTTAAAAATAGGTAGACTTCCTAATACTTAAAATTCCCTTCATAGCATAGATATATATGCAATCCAGTGTTTGTGGGCAGGTGAATTTGTTTCATATATGAGAATGAAAAAATGTTGCTTATCCCGAGTACCATTGAATTGTCAAGCAGAGGTGGAGACCCATCACTTTTTTCCTCTAGGAAAACAATAAGCATATCTACAACTCCTTTTGGATCCAAAATGTGAAAAGCTCTTGCTCGCATCTCTGCCTGAAGAGAATACAAGCAACTCTCACATACTACAGAAGGTCGCCGAGAGGGAAGCTTCACATTTCTGCACGTTAAGGAAATGAAAAGTCAAAGCAAATGGTAGAAATATAAGTTGCACATATGTGTTTGCTTGCTGGTGCATACACATATATGCTGCTACATTTTACAAACTAGCAACTTCCTAATCTAAATGAAGAGGTTCCTAGTATCAATGTCCAAAAACAGACCATATTTGTAGTTGACCATATTAGAAAAAGTCCACATTAATCAAGAGGAAGAAGTCGATCTGGAATGTTGGAAGTAGGCAATTGAGAAATCTGACAGAATGCTTTGAACTATTCCATGCTGCGTCAGTATATACGGAGTATATTTTGTTTTACATAGTATGATGAAAATAATCAAGTACCAAAGGCATTTTTGCACGCCTCCTTCTTAAGCCCACACATTGGTGCATTGGAATTGACAACTACATGGCAACAATGGCAAGGAGTTGTCGGATAATGGAACCATGGATAATAGGATTTTAGGTTTATCTTGAATTTAGTGCATCAATCCGAAAATTGGCTTAACTAGAATAATCAGCTCAGAGACATTAATTTGTTATTTGCATTTATGATCTCAATAGGTATATTTTTCCTAATGGGAACACATTTAAAATTACTATAGTTAAAGCAAATTAACTTGTTTTCTTTTTTCTTTTCTTTTTCCGTTTGGTTTAGTTTTCCAAAGATTTGTTTGCATCACAGAGGGGTGTTTGGGTAAAATAAAATCATGGTTTCAGAAGTGCTTTTACGGTATACAAAGTAAATATGTAGAGGAGTTTGTCTCGATTTGTGGAAAAGTGCTTCTAAAAAGCTTCTGGGGTTAACCAAACACCCCCGTAGTGTGCCATTACCACATGCATTGATTAATACTACCTCCGGTCCTTAATATAAGACCTCGTTTAACTTTTATTTTAGTTCTAAATATAAGACACCAATCCACTTTGTTTCTCATATTTATTTTTTTTTCCAGTATAGTCTTCCTAATAATAGTAGTTTTAGTTAACACACTTGATTAGTAAAAATATTTTAGAAAGATAACATCTATTTATTATAAATAACTAACTTAACTTATTTCTTAATTTACTCAAATTAGTCAACTAGCTCTTATATTTAGAACCAGAAGTGGTATCATCAAAACTAGAGACCTGACGAACCACAGTTTAAACCCCGTATTAGTCACTATGATGCGCAACAGATCATCAACATTATGCATCTTAATCACATGTCCACAGAAAAATTAGTCAGCGAGACGTCTCCATGCAATGGCAAAACAAAAGAGTAAAGCTTGTATCGGATTTCTGTCACTACCCACGCCAGCTGCAATCTCAATTTAGTTTACCCATGTCTACTAACTGCAACTATGACAGTAAACGCCCGACCTGCTTACAAAATTATCAAATAGTGATTTAAGACCTTTCAGAGAATCACTTACTTTGGTGATTCTTCACCAGTATCATCTTCTCCAAGAACCCCTTGCCTTAATACTGTTTCCAACATGCCAGCTGTTTGATACCTCAGGGAAAATGCTCTCTCAGATGGAAAAAAGCCAATCTGCAGGCTAATCATAGTGGATATTTTACAGAAGACAAAGGGATAACAAAACATAAGGCAAAGATACTGTGTCCATGGAAAGAAATCGATAATTATGTGTTCTCTGATACATTCACTAATAGGAGGAAAACTCACTTGTTGATATTTGTCAGCAGTAAACATATTGGTTTCTTTGATTTTGTACTCTGCCCACTCTGATTCCTCATCATATCCAGAAATTGAAGTATTTGATGAAGGTTGCTTAATGTATAGGCTACAAGAAGCAATATAATAAATGAATGAATCAAAGACTTGTAAACGGTCTTCGTTGTGTAACAGATACAATGATTAATGACAATTTAGCTCTAAAGAACTTGATTGCAGAGCTTCACTTCATGACCGACTGGATTAAATCCACTGGATAGATGAAATACCGGAGGTTTATCGCGCATTGTCATTTTGGCTTTGATATCAAGAAAGTCAGTCAACATCCAAGATATTTGTGTTACGTTAATATACTCTTATAATATGACAATTTTATCGTTTCTATGTTAAATTGTCCAATATAATCATCTTAATTACCGCGGTTTGCAAGATGCTATAGAATGCGAAGTGCAATGAGTGTCTCAAAAGAATTATCCGTTTCTTTCCTTCTAACTTTTAAGCATTAAAAAAAGGGGTCATGAGAAGCTTACGTTTGAATGAGACTCATGAGATGATCTTCCCCATAAGAACTTGCTGAAAGCTTCGTACTTATTTGTTGCAACAAATGCCCAGAAGCATCAAATTGCTGAAAAAGGAAAAAGGGAACTAGTAAGGCAAAAACACAAAATTGCTTCTTCAAGAAATTTTCCATTATGATGCTTACGTAGAAAGACCCATTCCATTTTCCCATATTAAGCTCGATGAAGCTATGAAGATTGTCTATGCTCATCACTGCTTCTTCTACTGACGGGGAAGATTGTGAACTCGATGCTCGGATTCTGGGAAAGGAACATGAACGTTTTGGGTTGGCTAAATTTAACGAAAAGGTTCGACCATTGTTGGACTTGGGTAACTTGGGAACCGAATGGATTGAAACTGAGTAGTGAATGGAAGCCATGGCTCCGCAGTGAAAGAGCGAAGGTCGACCCTATGAAAATGAATAAATGGTGAGAGCATTATCTAATCAGCCAACCGATAATAAGGACTTTTCCTAAATTTTTTCATAACTGTTTTAATAAATCTAAATATACACAGTACTCTCGCCCGTATATGAGGGCATATTTCTAACTTCATATAAATCATCACCCTTAAAATTAATTATTTTTTATTATTTTATGTTACATTTAATCTCAAGGTGTCTTCCTTTCACATTTTAATATAATATGAAAGTATCTAATAATAATAATATTTGTAAAGAGAAATAATAAAAAATAATAATTTAATTTTAAGACAATTTTATTGTTTTAACTAATTTTAATCTTGTTGGGTTAGTTAGAATTGTGGAGGGAGTAAATTGTAATTCAATGTAGTTGGAATTGATTTGTTAATGTGAGAAACTCTTGCTTATTTAGTTTTTTTCACTATTGAATTGTAGTTTATAATTTTTTGTCATATTTTGATGCTTTTAAATTTGATAAAATAAAATATGCTTAATACAATTTTTGATCCTTCAAGTTTATTCTTATTTCGATTATGATCCTCAAGTTTCAAATAATAGATTTTGGTCATTCAAGTTTCTTTTTATTTAAAATATTAGTTTTTATTATTAAATAAAAATTTAGATCATTTTGCCCCTTAAAGGACAAAAACTTATAGTTTAAAATTCTAAGGACCAAAATCAAAATAAAGACAAATTTAAAAGACCAAATATTATATTAAGCCAATAAAATATCAAACAAAACCAATCTCTTAATTATCAACCGGACATGTTTTCACGTCAAAAAAAACTGGACATGTTTTTACATTCTCCAACTAAAAATGTTGTAAGGGCGTTATTGTCAATATCTTTTGTTTCTTTTATAGATAAAATTGTTTTACAAATATAAAAACATACTGATTAATAATTATTAACGAGAAAAAATAATATAACTTTCATATTTTTCATTATATTAATTATATTGTATTATATCATCAAATTCATAAAAGTAAAATAATTGTTTAACTCCATTTATGAAGTTAACCTTTCTTGGACAGGTAAGATTTTTTAAATCATCAAGAGCTCTTCAAAATTATTTTAAATGCATTAGTGTTGGTAATATATCTATAATCTATATCAATAGTATTAATAAAAGTGGTGAAGGCAGTAGAGGTCATTACAGCACAAAATTAATGGCGTGAGCAGTGAGCACACAAAGGTCATCAATTGCTCATTTTCTCTACCATCTCTATCACCTTTTCAAAGCTACCTTAGTGTAACCAGTGCACAAAACACTTCATATATGAATATTTGTATGAAATTTAGGGTTGAAACATATTGAATTATCACCAGTTCCATCTCCCATTCCACTATGGTAAGAGCAATCAATTGGGAAGAAATATTTTTACTGGCCCAACGATTGATCCAGCTTTAACAATGTTGAATACAAGGGAACCTTCGTTTACATAGAGGAACGACGAATATCCTCTCTGCAATCCATCACACAAGTGCTGTTCAGTCCAATCTTCTCAACAAGTAGGCAACCTGAACTTCCTTTGTCAGAGGCATGATCCAATCACCATAAAGATCAGCAACCAAGCTTGGTTTGATTTTGTAGACTGGTTCGGTGTCATGCCCTTTACTGTTTAGAGGCACCTCCATCCCATAAGTCTTGGTCTTCTCTTCTACTCTCCTTTTTATTGTCTCTTCAACATCAGAAAATGTTAGCAGACCCATCAGCTGATCTTTGTCCTGCACAATCGAACATGATTAGTGTTTCAAGCAGAAATACCACTAGCATCAGAGTTATACTAACTCAATATGAATGATAACGAGGCATTCATGGAAGTATGACCAGTTTCTCATGAGTATTCGTACCTGCGCTATAATAGCCTTTTTATATTCATCTGGAGCGGCTTGAAACTTAGCCTCCGCCACAAATTTTCCATAATGTATTCTCTTTGAGAGAGCCTGCAGTTCCCCCCCCCCCCCCCAAAAAAAAAAAAAAAATCCAGAAACTGAGAACCAGAGTTTGTCAAGCTATGGAACTGACCACTATTTGTTAATGTAGCCTCAAAACTTGTCAAGGAATGACAATGGCAAAACTTATCCAAAAGATGCATGCCAAATGTCAACTACACAAACTTGCAACAGTTTGTATATGTTATTGACATTGATTGAGAAAGACAACACCTATTTATTTTAAAAAAGACAACACCTATTTATTACAAATAATTAATTAACAAACTTCCTTAATTTAATCAAATTAGTCAATTAGCTCTTATATTAAGAACCGGAGATAGTATAAAATTAAGTATAACTGATAAATGAAAACTTCACCACAGGAATCTTGTTCAATTGAGGAAGCAGCCTTACTTATTCTTCTTTATAGGTAAGTGATATTATGTTACTGAGAAGAGGTCATACTGTAAATTTACAAAATCATTCACCAATCAAGGGAAATGAGCTAGAAATGAAGAACAACTATCCAAGTTGGATAAATAATACCACATGAATAAACTTTGGAAACATAAATGACATAGAACCTCTAGAGTGTTTCAACAGAATTGGAAAAGAAAAGGAATTAATTAAAATGCATACCTGCAAGCACATTGTATCACAAACAGCAGTAGATCCACAATTACCATCATCTCCTTCTGTGACTAGCCGTGGGATGAGATCTGTAAAGTATACTTTCCATACTCTATCATTTATATTAATCGTATCAGCAACAGGATGCAATACCTATTCACATATTAATCAAACAAAAATCTCATAAGGACAGCTAGCACATAAAAGATTTAGCAAAAGAACACAATGTAACACATAAAAAACTCACAATCTTTCCAGTAGCCATTCACTAATTTAATTAAATATGTAAAATAATATGCTAAATGTTTATTGAGGACACCACAGCAAATTCTGACAGCAATGGATTTTCCAAAGTCGAGCAGTAACAGTGAAAATGGTACGTAGATTGATTTTTCACGCTTTTGATGTGTTCTGGGAAGCAAACTGAAATGTCTAATAGCATAAACCACAACTCCCATGTTACAACCTCATGAAAACTGCAACAGAGTCTATCAGACTTTTAGGCCCTATTTTTGCCCAAAAGAAAAATCACAATTCTGTCCGAGCAAGAAAACAGTTCAATAAAAAACCAGAATCTTCATTAGGGGAACAATCTTAATTATTGTGAATGCATACTTGATGTTGGACAAGAGAACAAAGAAGAGATAAAGGGAAAGGAAAGGAGGTGGATTGAAAGAAAGAATTGTGGGGAAGAAGTTCATAAACTTGGCCGTCGATACTGAAAAACTGACTGTGGATCCTATAGAATGGGCCCTTTACAATGAACCCAGAAAAATAACAGTGTGAATTAGAATGAACATGGACAATAAAAACTAGACAGCCTCAGTAAGCTCCTACTTCTTAGTGACTAAATTGATATGTGTTTTCTAATCAGTATAAGGATATTTATCAATACCTTAGGGTAATGCAAAGGTGGTAACATTGGTTCAGGTAAGCCATCAGGGAAAAATGGATGCTCATCCGGGCTCTTGTATCTACCCACCTTCAGTGAAATGGAAACCCGGTCAATAAAAAAAAAAAATAGTAAAAAAAAAAAAAAAACTCAGTAGGTTTCAGTTTCATACTTGAGCATGAAGCTTCTCAGTTTCCATCAATATGTATTGAACCAAAGATCCGCGGAATCCATCAATGAAGATGGCGTCAGGATCATATGTATCTGAATTATAGCAATATTGCGCTCGCTCCAAAAGGCTAAAAATTATGCTATCCTCTTGACGAATTAAAGAACGCCGTATATGATCTAGAGTCAAATTTTCACTTACATCAATTCTTTTCTTTGCTGGCGTTGATCTGCATAAAAGCAATTAACTAATTTTAAACTTAAAAAGAGAAATAGTAACCACAAACATTGTCATCCTCGAAATGAACAATAAGCATGTAATGTAAACCTTGAAGATGGGTGAAAAAATTATTAAAATAATTTAAAGTTTTTTTCACCGTGCTTCTTGAAGATTCAAGAATCAACAAACCGAGTATAAAATAAGCTAAGATCGGTGAACCCGTGATGATCAGGAATGTGACGGGCAGATGATGATGAATCTTGAAGAGGCGAAAGAAACAATAATAATTCTTAGCTTACAAAGGGAAAGAACAAAACAAACAAAACAGCAATCGTACCACCAGACACGATTGTAAAAGAAAGAAAATGTGCTCATGCTAAATAATAAGCGTCTAAGAACATGCCCTATGAGTCAGATTACCATAACCACAGCAAATTACACGAAAATCATAAGCCATGGCACCTTATAAGCAGGTGTACAAATGGGCTAAAGAGAGAATAATAACAAGCTGGAGAGTTAAGCCCCATGATAGAATACAGCAAATAATTGCAAGAACCCGTGAAACAGTGTGCTTACCCAGCCGAAACCGCAAATGCCTTCGGAGAAATAAAGCGTTTTCCACCAAAATTGGTAGCGGGGTTAACAAGGAAGGAAGTGTTGTGTCTTGGGAAGTCAAAAGCGTAATTGGCTTTCGAAGTAGAGAAAAGGGAAGGAGCAGAGGGCGTGGGTCTCAAGAGCTTGGCCTCCATTTGAAAGAACGAAGGGGAAGGTGAACGAATTGAAACCAGAGAATACCAGAAAAGGAAGAAGAACCGAATTAAATTAAGTAACACTTAACCTGATATATGTATACACACACACACAAACACATAGACAGCGAGCGAATGAAGATTCAGGACTTGGGCGCTGCCGCCCCATGGGCGGGCGGGGTTGGTGAGGATACCTATCAGAGGGTTAGGTTAGGTATGCAAAGGAGTTGGGCGGTGGGGCCCACTGCCCCTGAACACGGACCTCCAAGGCTTGAAGTGAAAAAATCTTTAACAGATCTCAATTTCAAAATACAGCAACTTAGTTAACTTTATTCTTTGAATTCATAATTTTTTTAATTTATTTAATAAAATTTTTATACATTAAAAATTTAAGGGAAAATGACATGAAGATCCTATGGAAGACAAAATACTATAAAAAGGCATGAGAAAATTTGGTAATGAATCTAAAGCCCTAAAAAAACCTAAATATAATTTGGTAAAGTATGAAAAGATATCTCAGCCTCTAATAAGATATAACTAAAGTTGATAAAAGTTTATCTATTTTGTACTAAAAATTGGCACTATATTAGCAAAAAGCAAGAGAAAAAACGAACCCAAACTTCATCCTGTTCCTTCCTTGTGCCCATATAAAAATCTGACACACTCCACTCGCATCAACCGTTGGTAAAAATCACTTGCATTTTTGTTTTTGTGTGTGTTCGTCATTTAAATTTAGGTTTTATGATGGATGGATGCGATGATTATGGTGCTTTGTTTCTGGGTGAACTGTGAATAGGTTGAGGGTGGGCTTACTCTATTTAGGCATGATTCAGTGGGATTGATGAAAAAGATGATGATTGGTGTGAGTAAAAACCCTTATTGCAAAATAGAAGAATTTGCTGTCAATATAGGCCATGATATTTATCAATATAGCTGCTTGAGTTATTAATGATAACTGTGTCATGCAGGTTTACGTTAACTAGTTTTATTTTGTTTTTGACACAAAAACCATGACCTTCTATGCCCTTAACTTGATGTAGGAGGTTACAAAAAAAGGAAGAAGAGGTAATAAAGAAATGTGGCAGGCTGGCAGCCACATGAGGCAAAAGAAGAAAAAAGAAAAGCCATTTTGAACCCAAACAAATGATGAGAGGATTTTTTTTATAAATAGAAGTGACAAAAAGTTTTTGTAAATGTCATAATACACATCAATAGTTACTTTGATATTGGATACATGCAATTGTATGTTCTTTTTAATAGGTTGTGAAATTAGTATAGTTACATGTGTGAGATATAAAGGAAAGTTGGTCATATGTTATTCTGATGCACAATAAATTGTCATCATCTACATCCTTTAATATCAATACACCCTTCTTCACTTGTCACTCATGTACTATCTATTGTCAATTTATGTGTTAATATAAGTTTGAAAAAATGTGCTTTTAAGTTACATAATGTCATACGACTTCATATAATATCATCAATTTTTCTAAACTAATAATTTTGGTTATAATGTGGTATAGAATCGTTATTAACAGTCAATTATCATTAATATAAAATTATGAAATCAACTATCATTAATGACACATTCAATTGTTAATGGCTGCCCTCATTAATGATACATTCAATTGTTAATGGTTGTCACTTGGCTTGTCAATGGTTGTAATATCACTTGTAAATTTATCTCCTAATATAAGTTTGAAAAAAATGTGATTTTAGGTTATATAGTGTTCAAACAGATACGGGAGTTTTTTTTTTCGGGCCTAAGTTACTTTATTTGATGCAGTTTACAATGAGGACTATTTGATCCTTACATATTGAATTTTGTTTACAATAATTATTGTGGTGTCCATATCCTATCATTTTTATATTGTGTATATCCTTGAAACAAAAAGCAAACAATTCTCAAAATCACATATTTCAACAGGAAAATTGCCAAGTTATAATGGCACTATTAACAAGTCAAGATGCATAGATTAACAATTGACGTAAGGAATATTGATTCAAATTTGCAATGCAATTATATTTCATTTAAAACAGAAATACTATATCATCTTATATTACATTATAACCAAAATGTATTATTGAAATTTACGTTAATAAGATGACATTTTTTCAAAGCTTAAATAAATTCATGAGTATATAAATTAACAAGTCATAATAATGTTATTGACAAGTCATAGTGCTACCATTCACAAGTGAAAATATCATTAATAATAAGTAATTTTATAATTTTATATAAGTGATTGTTGATTTTTAATAACAAGTGTATATCACATTATAACCAAAATATATTAGTTTAGAGGAATTGATGAAATTATATGATGTCGTATGACATTATGTAATTTAAAATCATATTTTTTTCAAACTCATATTGGCACATAAATTGACAGGTGATAGTGTCATGAGTAACAATTGATAAAAAGTATATTGACAATAAAAGGTATAGATAGTGACAACTGATTATACATCATAATATAGCATATGAGTTTATAGCCAACTTTAATTTATAGCTTTATATATATATATATATATATGAAATTATACCAATTTCACAAATCATTGGAAAAAAATACACAGTTGAATGCATCTAATACCAAACTAAATGTTGGTGTTTATTGTGACATACAAACAATTCATGTCATTTCGATTTACAAAAGTTTCTCTTTAGCCATCATTTGTTAGGGGTCAAAATGGCTTTTCTTTTTGTGTCTCATGTGGCTACTCATCCTTCCTCATTGCCTCTTCTTTCTCTTTTTGTAATCTCCAGCAACAATCAAGGACATAGAAGGTTATGGTCTTCATGTCAAAAACATAACAAAACTAATTAATGTAGACATAGAAGGTTATGGTCTTCATGTTAAAAAAACATAACAAAACTAGTTAATGTAAACCTGCGAGACACATTTATCATTAACAACTCAAGCAACTATATTGATTGTGAAAATTTATCCATCCATATTGTGAAGACATCAAATGGAAAGAGTTTAGCACATATCATCATCATCATTAATAGTTTAACCATATCATGGTATAGAACACATAACAAAACCAATGCAAGTTAACATTAAAGTTATATGTTCTTATTAAGTTGTTCTAAATCTTGATTCTTGCTTCTCCTCCCTTGGATTGGAAGTCCTTCTTGCCAATGCTCAACTCCTATTCATCATATAACAGAAGCATTCTAAGTATCAATTCAAAACGACTTCAATAACTCAAGTTAAGCCCTTAACCTTTATCTTTGATTTGTAGAGTTTTAGTGTCATCTTTCTTAACATAGTTCTTAGGGGCATCCTAATTTTGCATGTAGAATCTATATTTGAGCTTGGAATAATCAAAATCCAACTCCTTCCCATCCATCTTGACTTAACTGAATGTATAGGGTTTGTAGTTCAAAATTTTCATTTTCAATTCTAATGCTTCCAAACACCTTTTCTCAACATAGTCTTACACAGTTTTACCTTATAAACTCATTTGAAACATCAAATTAACATGAATCAAACTCTAACCCTAAGAACCCTATATGGCCGAATACCAAGCTCCAAGAAATCAATCCTAAAATCTTTTATAAACCATGCAATAAAACAGGATTTAAGCCTTTTTCCTAGCTCTTAATCCCTTTATTATCATCAAATCATTCATGGCATGCTTAAATTAAATTTGGACAGCATAAGGACTTCAAGTTGCTAGCTCCTATTCACCATCAAAACCATATTTAAACTCAACAATATATATGGCCATACAAACTCTATCAAAGTCCATAGCCTTACCTTATATGGAAGCTTGAATCCACTTGAGTTCTCTTGCTCTTCTTCTTCTTCTTTCTCTCTTTTTTTTTTTTTTTCTAGAGCAAAAATTTCACCCTTCTCCTCCTTAGGTTGGCCAAAATTTTCATGTGAATGGAGGGAGGGGGTATTTATAATGCCTCTTTAAGTTCATCCTTAATATTTTGCCATCCATCTTGCACAAAATTACAATGGTTATGTGTTATATTTTCTAAGCATCCATGTAAGTTCAAAGACCTTATTTTGCCCTCAAAGTTGAAGAAAATTACTATTGCAATGTGTCTCTATTTCCATGCTCCATGTGGTCTTGAAATTCAAGACAACTCCTTTCTAATTTTGCCCTTTCACAAATGCCAAAATTTCAATTTTGCCCTTTAACAAATGCCAAAATTTCAATTTTGCCCTTTAACAAATGCCAAAATTCCATAACAATTTCCTTTCCAATTTGCCCTTTGACAAGCGCTAAAATTTTAATACTATCCCCTCATGAAAAATGGTGCCAAAATGGAAAGAAAATGGGAAAAGTTCGTCCAAAAATAAACCCTGGTCCTCCATCAATTTTGCAATATTGCATCGTATTGGGTATTTTTTTCAGGTTTTGACTTTACCAATAGTACATACATGTGTTCTAATATCCTTATCTTACTTTTACACTCCCTCTCTTGTCATATATGACTTCAAATAATGATAATAACTAGGTAAAAGTATCCTTAGGGTTTGTACAACTAAAAGGGAAATATCAATTTATTTTATTCCATCGTATCTTTGACCAATTATTTTCTGATATTTTTTGGTTCTGTAAATTCACTCTTGTCCTTCACTAGCTCTCTTTTACTATGAAAAAAAATTTCTAATTTTTCTCGGACCAAAATTTAACCTATAGATATTTCTTTTAAAGATTTTCCAGATACCCCCATTTATGAAAATTTTGGCTTTAAATTTTTTTAAAGTCAAACTGTTCACTTTTAAGGATCGAGAATAATTTTACAATCTTTTATAATCTCCAAAATATGTTTTTTCTACTTCTGTCCAATTACTTGAGGCCTTCAAGTAATTAAAATCATTGGTTTCGAATAATTTTTTCAAATTAGCCAAAATTCTCATAATTCAATAAACTTTTCTTATAAATTATTTTCATCATATTTTTACTTTTTAAGCCTCAAATACTAATCAAGACTTTTTTTCCATACTTTCTAGTAATACGAAAAACCCAAAAACAAAGCACAATCTCCAGCTCCTTGGCTAAAGCAGAATATAGGACGCTTGGTTTTGCAATTGCTAAAATAGCTTGGATGGTTGGCCTCCTCTAGGATCTTGGCATCAATTACTCTGAACCCATTGATGTGTTCTGTGACAGCAGAGCAGCAATGCACATAGTAGCAAATCCGGTGTTTTATGAATGAATAGAACATATTGAGATTGATTGGTATTTTGTAAGGGAAAAGCTTCAAAATGGTTTAATCAATCTGAAACACATACGCTCTACAAGTCAGGAAGCTAACATTCTTACTAAAGTAGTGGGAGCTGAAGTGTTAAGTAGACTGCTTGTTAAGTCAAGTGCTGTAGATTTGTTTCGCCCCCAACTTGGGAGAGTGTAAAGAATGTGTTTTAAATTTCTATTATAAGTCTAATAGTGTAATAGGTTTATTAAGACAGCCCACTGTGAACATTATAAAAAGGGGACCTGTTATCTGCTTTGATATGTAGACTTAATTTGCTTTTCTAGAGCAATGATAATTCGGTGTTCCTTTCTGGGGCTGCGTTATGGGTTGTAACAAACATAACTACCAATGGCAACAAGTTTATGCTTTGATACCTCCCAATCGTGCAAGTATTAAACAAAAGCATCACTCTTTTTTACATGATTTCATAAGTTATGATATAAGAATGATGTTAATGAAACTTAGCCCCCACCATAAATTTTTTGTAATAGATTCTCTTTGAGTGAGTCTGCAGCCCAAAAAAAAAATCTAGAAACTTAGAACGAAAGTTTGCCGTGATGGATACCCATCTTCATGAGATTTTTGTTTAATTAATATGTGAATAGGTATTGCATTCTGTTGCTGATACAATTAATTTGTGGATATAAGAATGATGTTAACAAGTATCCATTAGGGCAAACTCTAGTTCTAAGTTTTTGGATTTTTTTTTTTGGGGACTGTAGGCTCACTCAAAGAGCATCCATTACAGAAAATTTGCGGTGAATGCTAAGTTTCATTAACATCATTCTTATACCATAACTTAAGAAATAATGTAAAAGAGAGTGATGTTTTTTGTTTAAAACTTGCACAATTGGGAGGTATCAAAGCAAGAACTTTTTGCTATTGGTAGTTATGTTTCTAGGTTTTTTCTAGGGGTTAAAGTAGGTTTAACAATTCAAAAAGATCAATTTGGCAGATCACTCTAAATTTTTCTTTGGGGCATAATTTGCATGTTTGTGCAAGCTACGTTTTTAATAGAATCAACTTTGATTTAGTAGTTCAAAGATAAGTTAATGGGTCTGCTAACATATCATGTTGTTAAAGAGGCAATAAAAATGAGAGTAGAAGAGAAGACCAAGACTTATGGGATGGAGGTGCTTACAAACAGTAAAGACTGTGACACTGAACCAGTCTACAAAATCAAACAAAGCTTGGTTGTTGATCTTTATGGTGATTGGATCATGCCTCTAACAAAACAAGTTCAAGTTGCCTACTTGTTGAGAAGATTGGATTGAACAACACTTTTGTGATGGATTGCAAAGTTAGAGGATATTTGTCATTCCTCTCTGTAAATGTAGGTTTCGTTGTATTCAGCAATGTTAAAACTGGATCAATCGTTGGACTAATAAAAATATTTCTTCACAATCGATTGGTCTTACCATGATGAATTGGAGATTAAACTGGTAATAATTTGTCATGCAATGGATATATTACTTAATTTGGAGTACTAAATAATTGTGTGATTCATCTAGGCAACCTGAACAAGAACTCTTGATCAACAACATATCTAAAAACTTGATTGTTGAGATAGAATAACATCATACGATTCATGTAGCCGATCCCATCTAATGAGATAAGGCTTGTTGTTGTTGTTGAAGTACTAAATTAAATAATCACCTCCATGAAAAGAATACCAAGTTGTCTTCTATTCTGACGTTTTAAAATGGTTTTCTATATACTATCTTCGTTCCATAATGTAAGACATGGCTGACTGATTTGGAAGGATTAAAAAAAATTACTAAATTACTTAATTATAGCATATCTTACTTGATCTCTGTAAAATACTTATGTGAATCATTAGATTATATATCAATTTATAAATAGACAAACTGGTTTAGAAAAAAACTATAACTATAAATAGTTTTAAAAAGTTTAATAACTTCTTTAATTTTTTAAATTAGTCAACTGAATTTTATATTAGGGATTGGAGGTATTATATTGGAAGAAACTTGCTTTCCTCTAAAAGAATTTACTTTATATCTACATTCAAAATACTTTCTGTTGGAAGGTTCCATGTTGAATGTAAAACTTCTTGACTTGTTAGAAAAAAGTTAGTTATGGTTTCACAAAATCAGCCTTGGGCTGCATTTGACGCTTTTTTTTTTTTTTTTTGGACTGGATTTCCATTTCACTGAAGGTGAGGCTGATGAGCATCCTTCTTCTGCAATGGCTTACCCAAACCAATGTTATCACGTTTGGATTGCCCAAAGGTACTTGTCAACATTCTTATATTGATTAAAAATTATACACTCCTCCTGTTTTTAATATAATATCTACTTTATAGTACAAATTACAATACAAAGTAGATTTTATATTAAGGATCAGAGGGATTTCAATTTATGTACTCCTCTGATCGTTAATATAAGACTCATTTAACTAATTTGATTATATTAAAAAAGTTAGGTAAGTTAGTTAATTACAAGAAATGTAACATGTTTTTCCAAAAACACCATAATCATCTTTTTTGATACCTCCTCTCCCTATTCTATTTAATTATGGTTGAGGAAGTATCCATAGGGGTAATTTAGAGAAAACTAATAAATATGAGAAATTGGTCTTATATTTAGGACCAAAACTAACTCAACAATTAGGTCATATGTCAAGGACAGGAGGAGTTATAAAAAGTAAGAGCTTACTTGAAAGTTGAACCATCAATTTTAAAAATAGGAAGACTAATTGCATAAATAAGAATACTACTAGAAGACTTTCTCTTGTTGGGGGAATTGAAAAATTTGCATTTTTTTTCCAAATATATTAAACGTCATTAAAAAATATGAATGATTAATTATAGGAAAAAGAAAGACCAATCAAAGAAGTAGCAAGACCTTTTTGAAGTTTTCCCATGGAGGAAAATTTGAAAATTTGCAGAGTTTTTCCAAATTAATCTAGTACACCAAATCAAATTGAATATGGATAGTATCCCAAAATATACTTTTTTAATCTCTATTTTTTTATTATGATCACTTCAAATTTGTGTATTGAGTATTGTCTTCTTCATACCTGTTTGAAATTTAAATTTACATGTTTAAAATTCGCAAAGGATAAAAAGCCCCATGGAGTAAATATGCTGGGAGGGTATTGAATTTACAATGATTTCATAATGGCATCGAATTCGTTTTATTAAAATCGATCAATTCTTTATTAACTTCCTAATAACATTTATTTTATTGTATTTTGAAAAAACTTTTTAAAAATATCCTGAAAATTTAGAAATAAAAAATCAATTATTCGGATTTTGATAATTTCAAATCAGTCCATTATATCAAAATGAAATTTTTAAATTTTCATAATTTTATAATATTGCCCCTTCACTTAAAAAAAAAAAAAGAGCCCTTAACTCTTTTAAATGCCACCTTCTCACTCTTAATTAACGGCGAATTGCTAGATTAACAAATGACATCACATTTCAAAATTAGAATTAGTTATTTGTCATTTCTAAACTTTTATAATATTTTTCATTTTCCTGTGTATTTATTCTATATATTAAAAAAATATGAGATCCATTTCATTCAAATAAGAAATAAGTTTCTATTTACTTTAACATGTAAATATAGTATTAATTTAAATTAAGTTTGAATTTGTTTTCTGTGTGATTAGACTATAATTATATTATTAAAACAAGGTCGTAGCTCGCCCATGTATTCCAATTTTTTATTAAATTTTATAAGTGAAAATATAAATAATTTCATAATAAATGGATAGCCATTTATTTAATTTATAAATATTTATACACTTCATATGTGGGTATGTGATCGTGTGCGCATTGATACATAGAAGTTAATATGCAAAGACTCAATCCGTATAGAGAGTACATACTCGATTCATGACTCGGATTTGTTTCCAGGTTTTGGTTGTAGGGCTTTGGTCAGCAACGATTTGAAGGAGCACGACGGCGAATTTTCAGGTACCCAAAGTTACAAGCACCTGGTGATGAACCCTCAAAAATATAAGGCAAATAACTAGTGGCTTTCTTGTATCTCTGTTGAATCTCGACAATTTGTTGATTGCTTTTCGAACAATTCCTTCCAATTACACAAACCGTTCCACCAGAACCCCCACCAGTGATCTTGGCTCCACACAATGTGCCACCTTCAACCATAGATGCTGCACTGTGTTGCAAGTCCTGAACCAATTGTACAAGCCTATCTGTTCCATCAGATCCAAGTCCACAAGCACTGTAACTGTAATGGCACTGATATAACAGTTCTCCAAGGGCTAAGAGTTGATCTTCAGTTGAAGTTGCTGAGGTTAGTAGTGCTTTAAATGTCTTAACACGGGAGTTTTCATAAATGGGGTGTACTGTTGGGGCTCTCACTGCATAAGTACTCTTTTCATCAATGCAAGTGACAGGATCACTATGATCAGCAAATTTCTCCAAGAATGTTGCACCAGTTATGTGCTCTGGGATGCTCTTAGCATAAAGAGCCTCGTATCTGTGAGGTGGCAAATTGCATAAGTAATCTAAAGAGGCTTCTTTGTTTATCAGTTCTATATCATCATTCTCTACTTCGTCAAGGTTCAACCCATTTGGAAGAGTCTTGGCTAATATCTCAGAAGCTTTGGACTTTATCATTTTCCGACCCATAAAGGTACCAATTCTGACTGATCCATAGTCTGCGCCTCCAACACTGTGTTTAATTCCAGAATCTATTCCCCAGAACCGGATGTGATTGGGAATTTCCACTAGACCAACAATTTCTGCAGGTTGGCAAATCATTGCAAGAAGCTTGTTGGCTTCACCACATGCCGAAGCCATTTGATCCATGACACCACATGGAGCTCCAACAATGTGATTTTCCACCTTCTGGCAAAGCAACGCCAGATCTCGTGGGCTGATAATCAGTCCATGAGAAACTGCAATAGCATGCATACTAGCAACCTCCACAGCTGCAGAAGACGAAACACCTTTTCCTTCTGGGACAGCAGAAGACACCAGCATGCTAATACTATCTTCAAAACGTATGCCCAATTCATTCATCAATACCACTATTGCTCCAGCAATATAAGCTGCCCACTTTTGGGAAGGATCTTGAGCAAAGAATTTCCTCGCTTTTTCATACGACATTGGCTTATCTCCATCCATAAAATCAGACAAATCCATGTCAAAGGTTGGGCCTCGATTGCTTAATTCTGAGCCTAATGATACAATTTGCAGAACGGCAGTTGGTTTATCCGCTCTAGCATTTTGTCTAGCTTGAGCATGCTTCCACAATCTATGCTTACTTGGATGGATTCTTTGCAGAGCAACATGACATGCTTCTCTTATTGGCATTTGCAGGACAAGGCTTCCAGAATAATCAGCAATTCCACCCATTACGTCTAACCTTCCTGGAGCTCTTGTGACAAAAATTTCTTCCTCCAAGTCGAAGAGGCTTGCAGCAGCCTTGCGCTCACGTGTTATGTGTTTCTCGTCCAATTCAGATAAGGTCTTTAAAAACGCCTCAGTATCTGAAAGACCTTGAACATCTCCATGAAGAATTTCAAAATGCTCATTGTGCGAGCTGAATATGGAGCTTTCATCATCCACCAACGAAGAGCCGGGTGAGTGTCCAAGTTGATTCTCAGCAGTTACATACCAATCTGGAATTGCAATATCTCGTCCAAGGGACCTTTGTAGTTGATACCCAAGAACCATAGCGTCACGCAATCTTCTTGCACCACTAAGTTTGTCTAATGCATGTTTTTTCCCGAAAGCTGTTTCTTGCAGGATATGGGCTGCCACCTCTCCACCATTTATGCCACCTTCATAGCATGGTTTCAAAGTCATTGCACGTTCAAGATAAGGCTTCCAATGACCAGTGAATAAATCCCTCCGAATCATTTCAACACCACTTTGATATTGCTCAAGCATATTTCTCAGAAAAGGTTCTTCATTGAAATAGTCTCTCCGCACAAAGACAAAAGGACACTTGAATGCCAGAGCTTCACTAGCAGTCCCATATCCAATTTTTCCAAGCATACAATCAGATGCTGCAATAATGTCGGGTGTATATGCATTCTTGGCAAGTTTTTTGAAATTTGGAGGAAGGTCCTGGCTATCAGAAGCACCACAAACCAGGCATAACCATCCAGGAGGTAAAAACTCCTCCTTCAACGTCCATCCTGATGGCTGGCCACCAAAGTTGAGGACGACTACTTTGACATCATCTGCTATACCATGTTCCTTCCTCACCTCTTTTCGAGATTTGCGCAGCCTTCTTACAACCAGAGGCACATCAATAACATCACGAAAAGCTGGCATTGGGCAATATCCTGGAAGACGAATTAGGAATTCACAATGAGAATAGTCCTCTGCTATCTGCCAAACTATTGAACGATGATGATTCCCGGCAGCCATAACGTATTCTGCATAAATGAAGTCCCAGCTAAAATTGGTCACACAAACAGAACGAATTCCAGCGTCTGCGGCGGCACGACATGCAACAGGGACTACATCCGAGACCACTAAGTCGGCTTTAATGGATTTTAGCCACTGTGTTTCCTTTTCCAAGATTGTAGCACGAGCCTTGACGGCTGTTACAGAGTACTTCTCCAAAGAAGCGAGGCGATCAACGGTCAATGCATCTGCTTGAACGGCTCCACAATCCAAAAGCACCTTGCGAATAAAAAGACGAGGCGATTGAATATCAGAGGTGAACACAAAGTCAGGAGCGCCGCTGACCACGTAGACATCATGTCCGGCGAGAATTAGATGTCGCACCACCTCGGCGACACGAGTGGCATGGCCAAAGCCATGGCCGGTAACGTAGTAAGCGAAGACCAAGTTCTTCTTTGAAGATGAGACTGCACCACTCTCTTGTTCGGTCATCATTGTCTCGCTTTGAAATTGAATTGAAATAAAGTTGAACGTAGGATATTTTCTGATGATCGCATCGAGAGTGGGAAAATCAAATATATAGGAGGAGGAGGAGGACGAGGACGAGGAAAAGATTGCGATTCAGATACCGCAAAAAGGTTATGAAGCAAATCGGCTACGTGTACAAAAAGATACTGTTCGGATGAGCCTCGGCTATGTACCGTATTGAGCTAAATATGGGTGGATCTGTTGCGGATTTTTCTCCCATAATTTAGATTAGATAGATTGGATGAGATTAGATTAAATATTCATGACAAGGATTATCACAACACAACAATATCCCTAACGGAAACTTATTTTCTCAATTAAGTCAGAAACCTTGTTTTTTTTTTCAAATATACAATCATGCTGAATTTAGTACTACTACCTCCGGTCCTAATTATAAGAGCCAGTTGACTAATTTAAAGAGATTAAGGAAGTAAGTTAAGTTAGTTATTTGTCCTAAATAGGTGTTGTCTTTCCTAAAATGTCCTTACTAATCAAGTGTATTGACTAGAACTATTATTGTTAGAAGGGTTACTTTGGGAAAAAAAACATATAAATATGAGAGACAAAGTGGATTGGGGTCTTATATTTAGGAACAAAATAAAAGTTAAACAGAGTCTTATATTAAGAACCGGAAATAGTAATATCATGTCAAATATACTAAATTCTCCCGCCAGTGCTTGTTATTATAAAAAAAAATCTTCTCCATCTATATATATATATATATATATTTCATAATATGACATTTTGTACTATTGTGTTCATTTAATATCTCTAATTATAATTTTCCCCGACTAAACAAAAATTTTTTAACTAATGGCTTTTATTGAGAGTAATTTTAATTTTTACAAAAAAAATTAATCACTAAATTTGTTTTTTTCAAGTTACCAAAATTTTGTGTAGTTAAAATTCGATTTAAATATGTTAAAACTAATTCATTAAAAAAAAAAGTAGATTTTGTATTAACTCTTTCTTTTGAGAGGAATTGGTGCTTTGAGGGGAACAGAGCCGAGGAATAAAAGTTTTTAAGGAGTTCAATTTTGAAAAAAAAAAAAAATCAACAAGTTGGATCATAAAACATTAACAAAGGAAATTTCTCAAAAAGAAGAAAACAATGTTTTAAGAACCGGACCGGACCGGACGGTCGAACCGGTTGAACCGTGACCCGGACTCGTTAACGGCTCGGTTTGGACCAAAAAACCGTTCATATAGTTGAGCCGGATTGGACCGGAGTTGAGCCGTTATTAAGCCGGAAACCGGAGTTGGACCGGGAACCGGAACGGTTTTCAGAAAACCGGACGGTTTTTTAGCCTGACTGAAAAAATACTAAAAATTTTAAAAAAAAATAGAAGAAAAATAAAAAAATTGATCCCCTTAAATATCCTAATATATTTTTAGACTATTTATAACCATAGAGTATTATTTCATTGAAAATTTCATATATTGTGGTGTTAAAATCGTAAGTCGCTAGTCTTTTTGTTTTGATATTTGGTCTATCGTTTAAAAAATATTTTGATTTGAATGAATTGATAATTTGTAATATCATTAAATATTTTAAACATACATAAATTTAAATATATAAGGTTTTAGTCCATTTTCAATGATTTCATTATAATTTTAGATTATTTAAATGCATTTCTAAATTATTTAATAATTTGATATTTTTCATATATACTAATTATATGTATATAATATTGTTTTAAATTAATTATTGCATCACCGGTCTGACCAAACGGTCCGACCGATCCGACCGATTGAACCATGACCCGTTGATCTTTCCGGTTCGACTTCCGGTCCGGCTTTTAAAACATTGGAAGAAAAGCAAGGAAGATCAATTAAAAATCTTCAATCTCATTTACACACACATATATATTGATTCAACTTATTAAAATCTTTCCTCTTCTTCCTTGCATTCATAAAGACTTGTTAAAAATTAAATATTGAGTAAATATTAACTTTGATGATTTTACAAAAGATCAAAGTATCTGGAAGAACATGTGAATTAATGTTTTTCATGATAATTTTATACAAAGTAATAGTGTCTAAAAGATGTATGAAAAAACGTATATAAATAATTGCAAACAAATAAATTAATAACCCTTTTATTTTAGAATTTGTTACTATAGTTATCTTCTTATATTCAAATATAGAAAATAATTTATTGCAGTCCATAAATTGTTACACTCATACGAATTAAGAAGGGTCAAGGTGCATTTTTGTCCTAGACTAATTTGTTAGGGCAATAGATATTCTAAAATATTACAATGCTACTCCTCTGTTAAACATTCATTATTTTGATCATTAATTGACAGATAAAATTACGAAAAGACCCCTATTTAGGCGAAACGAATGACTAAATAGCTTAATCACTGAAATCTTTTGACCCAGTTAATAGATATGCTTAATATTAATTTTCTTGTTCACCTGAAAGTCCATTGCCCTTGCTGGCCTTACACCACCCCGACCTCATTTTTGCTGCGTTTTACATGTTCTATTTCCTTCCTCGGACCCGTTTGAATTCACATGGCCCTTTTACAGAATATGATTTTCCACAAAATATACAGCGTGCTTTTATACTAAACCAAGAATTCTATAGAACAGAAAATATATTTTTACTCACATCATAAGCATCACTTTAGATACAACGAACTTGCATTCACCAATAGCTATTCCTCAACCGCTGGAGCATATCCAACCAACTTAAGATCCTGTACCAATCTGTCAATCATCTGATATATATCCTCTGATTTGGGGTGAGATCGATCGAGAACAGTAAAATCATGCACCTTTTCTTCTAACTCAATGGAACTAACTCCAGATGGTTTTTGCCCTCCTGTGCTCTTCATTTGCAGCCTCAAACCGGCAACACTACTCCAATCTCCTGCTTGAGCATAAATATTTGACAAAAGGGAGTAATTCCCAACATCAGATGGTTCTAATTTGAGCAGATGATCACTCACAGCTCTGGCAAGATCTGCGGCATTATGCATCCGACAAGCCCCCAAAAAAGTTCCCAATACTTTGGCATTTGGTTCCATCGGCATACTGTGAAGAAGTGCAAAAGCTTCTTTTAGATGCCCTCCACGACCTAAAAGGTCCATCATGCAACCATAGTGCTCAATTTGAGGAACAATCCCATACACTTTCTCCATTGAATAGAAATATTTTCTGCCTTCCTTAACAAGGCCTGCATGACTGCAGGCAAATAAAAGGCCAACGAATGTGTACTTATCGGGCTCAAATCCTTCATGTATCATCCTAGAGAAAAGTTTAAGTGCTTTCCTTCCATGTCCATGCACAGCTAATCCTTGGAGCATGGCATTCCAAGACACGACATCTTTCTTTCCCATTCCATTAAATACATCAAATGCAGCCTCCAAACAACCACATTTTGCATACATATCAATCAATGCATTGGACACTTTAGTGCTGCATCTATATCTAGTCCTGTTAATGGAGGCATGAATTTTCTTTCCCAAACACAAAATTCCAGACTCTGCACATGCTGCCAGTATACTTATCATAGTGCCATCATCAGGCTTCAATCTTGTTTCCTCCATTTGCTCATACAAGGAGCTTGCTTCTCTAACAAGTCCTTTCTCAGCATACCCGGATATTATAGTGGTCCAAAGGATCATGTTTTTTGCAGGACTCCTGTCAAACAACATCCTGGCCATATCAATATCCCCAGCCTTACAGTAACCCCAAACCATTGTTGACCAAGAGATAACATTCCTCTCAGGCATTTTCTCAAACAGCTTGAATGCTTTGTCCATGTCTCCTTTCTTCACATACCCATCTAGCATAGTATTCCAACTTACCATATCTCTCACAGGCATTTCATCGAACAATTTGCAAGCTTCTTCTAATTCCCCTGCTTTTGCCAACCCACCGATCATAGAATTCCAAGTAACAATATCTTTTTCCGTCATTGACATAAACAAGTTCAATGCAGCAGCAAGGCCAAAAGGTCCACACTTTGAGTAGGAGTCAATGAGTGCATTGGGCACAAATATATCTGCATAAAATCCGGTTTTCTCTATATGTGAATGAATCATTTGAATTACGGGTAACCAAGAACGGCCAGCGCACGCTTTTAATAGATATGGATATGTGAAATTATCAGGACACACCCCAAATCTTTGCATTTCAAAGAAAACTGCGAAAGCATGTGAAGGCTGAGAATTTTGAGCGTGAGCTCTAATCAAAGCGTTATACTCATGAACATTGGGTTCCGGAATTTGATTAAATACATTCACGGCTGACACAATCTGACGGCTGAGGGAGAAAGCTGCAATGAGTTTGGGTGCAACATAGAGATCTTGGTGGAGGTCAGCTTTGAGAATTTGAGCATGAATTTGCTTTACGTGGTCCAAGTTAGTGCATTTATGGAGATCAGAAAGCTTCTCCTCGAGGAGCCTTCGTCTAGAAAACCAAGTTGGGGTCCGCAATGGCACAGAAATCTGCATCATGATTCATGGAATAATGGTTTGAACTGGACAGAGGGCAATAAACGAAAATAGCTACAATCATTTGAATATTTTGGCTAGCATGGATGAACGAGTAAGCCCAGGAGAGGGAAAAACCATTTCCATCATTAATTCAGGGATTACAAAGCGAGTGAGACCGGTCTGGCAGAAGCAATCAGGTCACGTTAGGCATATGGGAGAAGAACGGAAAGACGAGGGAACCAAATGCTCGACGCCTCACCTGTTTAGTTCGCCGGAAAGAACAGACGGCGTTGGGAGCAGCACAGCAATGGATGATATGCTGGACTTGAACTTGAAGAGTCGAAACTACCCCTGCTTTGTAGTTTAATTGACGCCCATCTCCTGTTCTCCGGTTCACTGACTCTTCAGCCTCGTCAATAGATGATGCTGTTCCTACCTCGTGCTTAGGGTCTGACGGGTTAGAGGGTTAGTTTTTAGTTAACTCTAATAGTATGTTTGGTTCAATTCCATAAAAGTTTATTACATGTAATCCTGATGTAATTGGCTGATTCAATTATTTGGTTATATTTTTGTAATGTAAAAAGAATTACATATTGTAATCCTAATTATCTTAAGTACATATATGAGGGATTACATAGCTAAAACCCATAAATGAGGATGCAGAGCTCTTGTAATCAAGTAGAAAATATTTTATTACCTTTATAATTTTTTGAATTGACCAGATTGCCCTTAATAAGAGACTCATAAACTCTATCAATTGGTACCAATTGTGTTCACACTGCAACTGCCTTTTTCCTCACTGTCGCTAATGATCATCATCGCGCTGGAAAAGTAATCATTCTTTGCCTCTTTCGTGTGGTTTTCTTTTGCGACAATCTTCACAATTTTGATGTGCACTATATTCATTTTTCATTTGTAGAGATAATAAATTAATACTCCTCTGGTCTTTATTATAAGACCCAATTTGACTTTTTATTTGGTCCTAATTATAAGACCCAATCCATTTTGTCTCTTATATTTATGTATTTTTTTCCAAGATAATCCTTCTAATAATGATAGTTTTAGCCAATATACTTAATTAGCAAAGATATTTTAGGAATGACAACACTTATTTATTATAAATAACCAACTTAACTTACTTCCTTAATCTTCTCAAATAAGTCAATTGGGTCTTATAATTAAGACCGGAGGAGTATTAAATAGATTGGGTGCATACGAAGAGTATGCTTTTCTTTACTAAATATACCAATGGACCTATGCCCATTAAACATGAAACTTTATCAAACCATCTATTTAGCATTTTATGATTTTTGTCGCCATAAGGTGACCCTTCAAATTAACTTCAATTTTTTAACAAATCTTTTCAATTAATATTTTCTATTCAAAAGAAAAAGATTAACTCAGTCTTTTTTTCTTCCAAGATTGTAATTCTGCATACTTATCAAAAAGTTGGAGCTCATTCTTTCAAAAGCACTTTTCAAAGGGTAATTTTGTCTTTTGGTATGTTATTTTTACTTATTTCCATGTTCTTTGTAATCCAATCAAACATTTTTATGCCTATGCATCATCTTTCCTTAAGGACGTACCAAACAAGCTCATGTAATCATCATTACATTATATTTCATTACATTACATTACATTCTCTATCATTCAATGAACTAAATGGGCTTTAAGGGTTAACCAGTTAAACCACCAACTACTTTTTTTTTAAATTTTTTTTATTTTTTAAATATTTTTCTTACGCAATATAAAAAATATAATGAAATTTTTATCTTTTCTTCAAATATTTGATTAAAAACACCAAATAAATAATATAGGTATTTTTTAAATTTTTGGATAGAATATAAGATATAATAATATACATATAGTGATTAATAAAATTTAAAAAATACAAAAACAATAAATATTGGTTAGCCTGTGGGTTGGCAGGATAACTTACAGCGGATTGTTAGTTAGACAGTACAGGTTGAAAAATTTTGTTTATTGACAGGTTGATTCTTAACCAACTCCAACCTATATTTTTTTAGAGGTTAACGGGTTGAATCCACTTATGTAACCCATATTACAAGTTTTCCTCCTACTAAAATAGTTTTGGTGTAGATTGTTTCCTCTCATTAGTTGCAAAAGAATTTTGAAATTTGTTTTATTATTTAAAAAAAATGAGATTTAATGAAATGAAACTTTTTTCAGAGGTTGATATTTCATGCCATTTGCTTAAAACGGCATCGTTTCCATACTGATCATGGATCAAAGGCAAATTGCTACCCTCAAGCAGAAGCTGAAGAAGCTAGTGAAGATTGGAGAAGCTGCCATTGCTGAACTTGGTGCAACGGGAGCCCATAATGAACACTTGCACAACTCTTCTTCGCACATCTCTCTCTTCTTTCAAATGCAGCCTTCGGTCCACTCCACCCACTCTTTCTGCGCTTTCTCCCGCCTTTTTGCGCACTTCAGGATTAAGGGTTGCTTCCCCATGTTACGCCTCAGCTCAGGAAGCTACTTCAGTCGAACCCATTCACATAAATGACCAATCTTTATCCGGAAATCCCATCATCGAACCCTCTGAAGACCAACCCAACGACACTGTCGAGCACCTGCTCACGCACACCGATGACGTTGCTAGGTTGATGAAGATGGAGCGCAAGACCCTTCATGATGATGCATCTCGGTGGTTTCCATACATTGACAGGTTCAATTGTCAAAATACTTATGTCACAAGTAGTGAGATTCTGGAGGCGGTTGGTCCGTGCATCTCCGATGTGAGGAAGAAGAGGTTCAGGGATGTGGTCCACAACCGGAGCTATTCTGTTTGTTTGGTTGTCGAAGGGCTTAGTGATTTTGGGAATGTTTCTGCTGCATTTCGCTCCGCTGATGCGCTTGGGTTCCAATCCGTTCACGTCGTCTCTTGTGACAGCTCCAAAAGGTGTAAAGACAATTGAGGTGAAAAAAAACTTGTTTTGAACGTTGGATGTGTGACTTACCTGGTTTAGGATTTATTGGCTCTGCTTGCTTTATAACTATTTTTGGTTTCTATTAATTTGTTTCCAATACCCGCCATTCTGTTTTCGTACTGAGAGAGGAACATTGTGATCAGCATTCATTTATTAGCCATTCGATAATTGTAAGTTTTTGTCTATTTAGACTGCTATCATAAAGCTTTTCTTAATTATTCAACATTTGAATGTCAGGCTTTAATATTCATGGGCATGTAGCTTTCACATCTAGAATGCTCATGTTTTGTTTTTCTAGTTATGTCAAATGCATTTTATTCTTCTATTTTGCCCCCTTTTTTTTTTTATGGTTTATGAGTGTAATGTGATTTAAATCAGTTTTCTACTTTCCTTCTACCTCGAAATGAATCATTCTTTCCCATTTTGCACATATTGCTTGTGCTTTCTACAACTTACAATTAATATAATGTTGAAGTCAATCATGACCCCGAATAGTGTACCAATTAAGCCCACCGTCCCACACCTTCATCACACCATACCAGATATTCAGCAAAGTGCTTCACTCTCTCCATGTACCAAATATTTCATGAAGCAGAATCGTCCCTCTGCCAAATATTTATTAAAGTGGCATGCCTTGCCCTCATAGGCTGATACCACATTTCTTGTGAAGCACTGCACCTAGTCTCGGTACCTGATTTGTATCCAAAACAGGACCGTGTTATTAGTTACAATGATACAAAACAGATGCTTGTCATGAGAATCATGAGAAGATGCTTCATTCAAATTTCACCTGCATCAATCATCAACCTATTAACCTGCCTTGACATTGCAGGTACAGAGAAAATCGCCATGTGAGCATGGGTGCTGAGAAATGGTTGGACATTGAACTGTGGGATTCTACAAAGGAGTGCTTTGAAGTGTTGAAATCTCGTGGTTATCGAATCGCAACAACACATTTGGGATTGGATACAGTACTGTTTGAGCAGCTTGGTTTAGTTTATACAAGCATTTTGCATATATTTGTGTGTTCTATGCACTTGTAAAATAATTTCACTGTATGCAATTTCCTGCTATGTACAGGTTTCCATTTATGACTTGGACTGGTCATGCCCTACTGCAATCATAGTCGGGAATGAGAGTAGGTAATTTGATTCATGCCCTTCATCTCACTTGTGTAAGAGCTTACCGATGCCTTGAAGAAGCTGCTTTGTTTCAAGTTTAGGCTTTAAATGGACATTTTGAATGACTGATTAAGTCATTCTGTCATTGCACACGGAAATTACCCATGTAATACTCTAAAGTTATCATTTCTGCTGGTCTGCGTCTCCAAATATGATCTAATTTAAATGTCATTGGTTCTTTACTTAGTGATTCATCAACAATTAGTAGTTAGAAGATATCAGACAGCCTTGGAACTTAACTAAATGTCGAATAGTTATCATATCTCTTAGAGCATGGAGTTCATTTTTGTATTGAGTTTTTGTATTTGGTCAACAGAGTTTAAGGTGTTATTGCAGGGGTATTAGTGATGAGGCTTTGGAGTTGTCTGATTTGCACTGCAGTATTCCCATGAAAGGGATGGTGGACTCTTTCAATGTTTCAGTTGCCGCAGGAATCCTCATGCACCATGCTGTTTGTGACCGAATATCTCGGATGGTAATGGTTGTAGTTTTGTGCTCTATATGGTACATAAGGAACTATCAATCTAATTTATTTATTTATTTATGGTATGGTGGACCATTTTGGTCAGCCTGTTGCGTCTTCCATCTGAATCAAAGAGCTGGTATGCTTGTATGAGAATAAAGGATTTAAACACGGTTTTGTATCAAAATTTGACTGAATTTGCAACCGCCCCTGTGCCTTCAAGGCTTCTTCATCTTCTTGTAAAGTTACATCAACCGGTTTTAAATCTTGATCATCATGATTGTGCTGAATCTGACGATACCTTGATTTATTGCAGGGTTGTCATGGTGATCTGACATTGGAAGAAAGCCAAATCTTACTTGCCGAGTTCTCATTGCGCCATAGCAAGAGTGCCATTAGTATTGTCCATGAATATGCAAAGCGCAAGTCAACTCTGTTGACCTGAGATGAGAACTATAGCAGGAAGGTGACATTCCTAATCAGAGACTGGCAAATCTTCCAAGTAACTTCACACGACTGATTCGTACAAACTGGCACGGCAAACACACCAGTGTATTAGGTTTACCAAGGACAGTGTGGTGCTTACTATAGAATACAAACACCTTTTTAGAATGACGACTCTGCATGATTAATCCATTCTTACTCTTATTCTTTCCACCACATTTTCTGTCAGCATGTTTCTGTTTTGCAGTATTAACCCAACCCCCACCCCCGGCGGGGGACGGGGGACCCCCCCCCCTCCAAAAAAAGTGAAATCTGTCATTCATCATCGATATTTGAAACAACTTTTTGTTTGCTATAAAATAACTTTGACAAACCGAATTACTCGAGTCATGTGTTGTGATTTATTTTTCAATTTTCCTGCCGTATGTGACTCTTTAATCTAAGAAAAAAAATTTATCAATGCAAAGGTAAAAAGTAGAGGTACAAGTTGTAACGATCCCATTATTGATAAAACTACAATGTACTACCCGCACGATGCGCAGAGAGATTGTAATTAAAAAAAAATGTTATCTTTTATTTTATTGAGTAAAACATAGTAACATAAACTAAAAAATTCTAACCTTGTTAACACAAAAAAAAAAAAGAAATTAAATTCTGTCCTCTATTATTTACCACGCATGCTTCTTCAATCCATTTATGCTTTTCAATCTCGACAGTGCAATGTATGATAAATCATGTATGAAAACTGGCTTTAGTAAATGGATCCCAATATGACAAAGTGATTGTACTTGATTTTTGTTGATAGTCATAGCAAAACATGGATTGTTTGAGAATTTCCTCCTTCACATACGAAATTGCCATCTGCTTTCTAAAAGATTCATGGCCATCTGATTAAACACTTCAATTTGGTTTGATTTCATTCATATGCAAGGGTGCCAATGTTCGGTACCTAAAAACAGTATCATAAAAGAAAATCAATTAACCTAAATTAGTCAATGGCCTATAATCATTCACATCTGCTAATATCAAAATGTTTCATGACATTCAGTAAAGATAATAATTGCATTAAAGAAATAAACTCGACAATATAAAGTGGGTGTCTTGAGTACTGTTCATTAAGTAATGTGTAGGTCAAAGTTGAATGCAAAAAAAATTTGAGAAACACATTCCCAACACATTATACAGGAGTGTCAAAACTCCATAAAATGAGAGAGAAAGAAATTGAACACCTTGAAATACATTCCAGAAGAAAATACTACCTCCACAATGTCAATACCACAGTCAACTCCTTGAAAGCAAAAATATTAAAACACACATAACATATATATCAAATATAAATTAAGCAGAATACCTATGGTCTTCATCACGTCGGAGGAAGTTCCATACCAAGACTACTTACAAACAGGAATAGCAAACCCCACTCCTACTTGGAACACCTAAGGGGAGTCTGCGGTCCAACTCAAGGCACCCACCAGCAAGGTGAACAAAAACAACAGATTGATTATAAAAATCATGAATTAAAACATTACATGACAAAAACTTCATAATATTTAGTTGTCAAAATGTCAAATAATGCAAGTAATGCGGTTAAAACCAACATATCGTCCCATTCATGATCGCATAAGATATTCAGGAATTGATGATAAATTCAATAGGTCACCTTGCACTATGTCAAACACTCTAAAGTCCACTTACTGATACAGGCCACTAACACAAACCATGACCAACAACCACTTTTAATGTTGTTGTTGGGAAAGCGTCTTATAAGAGAGGTGACAACTGTGGAGAAGAAAACCAAGCACATGAACATAAGCATATTAGGAGATTGCCCAAAAATTCAGGAATCTATATTTAAAACTCACTGAGTGTTCATGGGAACCTATCTGTCTCTCGAAGACCTTGAAATAGTATAGCAGAAACAGTGCAAAGATCAACTCTGGAGTTGCTGAAAAAGCAAATATGGACTTCATCAATTTCCAGAGGCAAAGTTTTCAAAATATGTCTTGAGAGATAGGGAACAATATAGGGTAAGGGTAAGCAGAAATTGTATGAGATGCACATGTCTTTTACACTTTTCATTTTTAATGGAAATCAACATCAGTGAGATGATTCTTTATTAATATTCTTCTTCTAGACTTGTTAATCGATAGTAAGATCTAAAAAACAACTTATAAGGAAAACGAAGTCTACTAATGAAGTTCTGATTTATACCAAATGAAAATTATACCAGACTCGACTTTATCATCACAAATTGACAACTTGCACGCCAAGTACCTGAACAATGGGAGCAAAAAGTATCAGCGACCCATTTTGAAATAAATAGAAGTATAAATTAAACTGCACATTGAAGGATTAATAACAAAACATCCTCAGGAGTCAGATGTTATTTTCATATTGAAATGCCCAACGACCGGTCCAGTTTAATAATATAATATAATGAAGATGAAAACTATCAATTTGATCCTCAATTGCATTGACATATATTAGTAAATTTATTTGACACCAGATACTTATTCAGAGAAAGTAAAAATAGATCAATTAAATTGAGAAGATCACCTGATAAGACAATCTCAGTGTGTTATAACGATCTTTGATCTCGAAGAAGATAGTGAAAAGCATTGAGGTGATAATGAAAGCCCTTGTCATGGGAGCATTAGCTGTAACAAACACAAACGATTAAGTATTTGATTCATGAATCTGAGAGAAAATACTTCCAATAAGCACACCCAAATGATTATAGGGTTAGAGAGAGACAGTACGCACTAAAAACAAATGGACCACCGTTCATCTTCTTAGTGAAGTAGAAAGCAATGGGTTTTGCCTCACGATTTGCCTAGATATATGTCTTGCTCACTATTTTTGACTCTATGGGTTGTTTTTCTCGCACCTTTTCATGTGATTTGATCTCTCCTTTTTAGTAAACTCATGGAACCCTACTCCTAGTGCATCCCCCGAGCAACATCAGAGGCTCTCTTTAGGTTGAAACAGTGACTTGGTAAAATTTCTCGGCCATCACTAACAACGACTAAACTGATAATGAAAGGCATAAAACTAAATTCTAATTAAAAAAAATTTAAGAGGAACATAAATGCCTGAGATGCGGGATTGGTTTACTGTGTCATTCCATTGCTTTTTTAGCACCACCATGGACGGCATATCCCCACACTATCCACACACTTACGGGGTGCCAAGCCACCAATTTACATCACCTTCTAACACTGGGCCAGAGAGATTTGAATCTGAGGTGAGGAGAACGGAGACAAAAGGAGAGAAAAGAAGAAGCATAAAGGCACTGGCAAAAGAACAATCCGAAAGTTTCTTTTTTTTTTTTTTTTAAATTCTTGATCTTAGTGGCACTGGAAAATCCTCTAACAGGACAAACATTTGTGACGGGAGGTTTAAAATTTAAAATTTGAAAGTCCCAAACCAAGCCGTGCAAAAGCCACGTACATGCATTAAATGAAGTTAGCCAAATAGAAGCCCAAGATTTATATTATTTTAATCAAATTGGCTTATGAACAGTAATATGTGTCTGAAGCCATTAGTAAGCCGTTTTAGGAATTGGCTTGGTGGAAGAGTTTTATTGTATGTATTGATGATGATTGATATTGATGATGATGTTATTTTCACCCCTAAATATTTTAATCTAATGTTTAATCACCGTCATAACTCATCATTATTACATAAAATTAATTTATAAAGTCAACGACTGGAGTGAGTTGTAGGAGATATGACTATGTCAAAACTGAGTATCTTTCATATTAAGCATAATGAAACACAGTAGAGGAGCTATTTGGGGCGCCCCAAAGGCATTTCCTAAATTCCATTTGTACACGTCACTGGCATTTGGCTGCCAACTCGCAACTGAAATAGACAAGTTTGCAAGCCCTTTTCTTTCTTTTTTCCAGCCAGACATTTCCTGATCACTAGCTTTCATTTTTAGCAAAGAAACTAGTTAAGTTAAGAAATTAAATTTGATTTTAAATATAAAATTTTAATCCATTTTATTCTTCAAATCCAAAAATCTAAAATATCACACATGAAGAATGTTTTCATCCAAAGGTAATTAAGATTAAAGAGGGCATTTTAGAGGGAAACAACAACTCATTTGTTACCCTAAAAAAAAACCAATTTAACTAATTTTTTTAATATTTACAAATTAATTATCTGAAAAAAAAAAAAAAGAAGAGGTAGTACCTCATATTCTGGGACACCCAAACTTAATGCGCAATCTCAAGCTCTTTGGGATCTTGTAAATATAGTACTGGAAAAACGGGCTGGCCCGGCCCTGCAGGGCCGGCCCGTCATGGGCTCGGGCTTAAACGGGCCGGCCCGTTTAAGCCCGAGTTCCAAAAATCACTCATTTTTTCAAGCCCGGCCCGCGAGATAACGGGCTCGGGCCGGCCCGCGGGCTTTTAGCCCTTTTAACTAAAATGAAATTTTTAAATTTTTTTTGCATATTTTATCAAAATAATAAAAATAAAACAATAAAGTTACTAATAAAAGGTATAAATATAAATAAAATTAACTCACAAATATAAACATCATCATGTCTAAATATATATCACAGTGTAATAGAGTCTATTGAATAAACAAACTAAATAGAGGACAGACGTAAACAACTAAATAAGCACTAAATTCAGTAGATAATTACAATGTAGATGATCTGGTTTAATTATCAATAATTAACAAAAAAGTTTAACTAACAAACATAGTATATATAAAGAATAATCATTTGTCATATCGATAAAAAAGAAAAGAGTCCATCATCTTTAGTTCTAAATTTGTTTCTAACTATAAAAATGATATAGATCTTTATTTTAGTTCAAAAGATTTTTTGATCAATTATATTTCAAGTATAAAAAATATGGGAGAATAACAAATAAAGACCATAAAAATTACACATACAGTATTTTAACAAGTTTTGACAACTTATAAATAACAATATATTTTTGTGAATATGTTTAGTTTTAAATTTTGCAATTTTCACGTTTTTTTGGTTATTTTTCCCACAACTATAATGATTCTTTTTTTTTTTTGGTGAATGCTATCTATGTGAACGGTTGGAATAAGTAAAATTAAGATTATGCTATGTCTAAAATGTTAGGGTTTCTTTTTTTAAGTTAAGAAAAAAATATAAAAATTAAAAAAAAATTGGCGGGCCTAAACGGGCTAGCCCGCAGCCATACAGGGCCAGCCCGTTTATTTTTCGGCCCTACAGGGCTGGCCCTTTTAAGCCCGACTTCCCTTTCAAGACTTCAAAATACAAGCCCGGCCCTCGACTTAAACGGGCTTAAACGGGCCGGCCCGACGGGCTCGGCCCGTTTTCCCGGCTCTATGTAAATATAACATTTAACATTTAGAATCCCAAACTTTTGTGCCTTGTGTAGAATAAAATTTGAATTCGTAGTCAAAATTAAAATCACAAGTTCTTCACCCAACTTGCCAAAATATCTTTACAGCTTCAACTACTAACGACTAGATTACATTATACAAAAATAAATGAAACTAAGATCCACATCTAGCATTATTATGCAGACCACAAGAACCAAATTCTTCATTCCAAAAGCTATGAAACCCTGAAAAGTTCCTAATCAATCAACATTTCCTCATTCGTGGTCTGAATTGCGGCCTTGCTACTCTGCATACTTTGGCCTTTATCATGTTTCTTCAATCCCTGGGACCTCACAAACTCCTCAATTCTGGCCTTCAGTTCATCATCAGGAATCAGCATATCGACAGTGAGGTGAGAACGATTGAATGGGTCAGTCTGTATAGACAACCATATTGGCACGGATTAGAAAAATTAATTCCCCCACCGAATAAATGACTAATGAAGGAGATAAGATTAAAGGGGTACGCTATCACTCAGAAGATGCCTCTGGATGACAGGACGATCAACTGTGATCCTTGAAGAAGGTAAGATAACCGGATCTTTCATCAGAGTGTACTGCAATAGAAAGAAGGTCAGATCTCTGAGCCAACATTGAGACTTCCGGAGAAGGTTTAATTGACAGCCAAGAACATGAGCGCCAACAACAACACCAACACCAACACCAAACACCCCCCCCCCCCCAAAAAAAAAGGGAAAAAAAAGAAAAAGATCCTCTACATCAACCCATTCCCAATGCAGCGTGAGCATAGTATAGATTAACTAAGTTAGTCACCAATTACTCTTATAGCAGAGTTGCACAGAGAAGCCTGAAATATACCTGAATCGGATCAAGGAATTCATCTGGTATTTCCCCTAAAGCAGCTTCAGCATCCATGGCCTCCGAAGCAGCCACTTTTGCTTTAGCACCGAGTTCAACAAATTCATGTATAACTCTTCCATCCTCACCTATTCTCCGAAGGACATCTGCTGCAGCACTAAACAGCTGCAACAAAACTCCAAGTGTCAAATTGCACTGGATTATAGAAATTCAGAGCAGGGGAATAAGTCAAAAGACAATAACCTGATCATTGTATGATCGACCATCCTTGGAGATGGCAGATGGGAAGATGTTGTTGGTATCACCTCTGGCTAGATGAACATAAATGTGCACAATCTTCAGATAGGAGGAACATATTGGAATCAGTAATTATCTTTCCAACCATGATGTAACACAAACATGAATACGGCATCTCATCATAAACCATTGAACATGTACTCCAAGTAGGTTCAATTTGGAAGGCTAGAATGAAATGAAATTGAAAATTCCAGAGTAAATTTTAAAATATCATCGTATCAAGATGTAGTTCTCAGTGCAGCTTATAACATAGATGAAACTAGCAAGAAATACAGCAGAAAATTATAATTAAATAACAATAACTTTGCAACTTAATTTATCAATTCCCCCTTCTCTCTTATTATGACCTCCAAGTTAATCTATGATATATTTGAAAAGCTTTAATTCACTTTAGATCATGTATTCGTTCAAATCTACAAACAGAAACATGAATTCAATTAATTTATTACAAAAACATACAGACCACCAAGAAAATCATATCATCTCTCCTGAATCCTCTCAAAAATCTCGCAGAAGAAAAAAGGGGCAAATAAATTAAAAATAAGGCTTCAGATATAATCAATGCCAACCTGCTTAAGCAAATGCTTGGGACGGAATTCATACTTTTCAGGATCTTTCAGACTAAGTGATTTTCTTTGGGGACCCACCAATTGCAGAAGAAAGTAATTGAGCATGCTGGCCACTCTTTCAACCTTGGGGAAAAAAAATGAAAGCATAATTATATTAATAAGTGCAAAAGAAGAATGACAAAATTTTAGGAAAATATTTGAGATTATCCATTGAATAAGCTTCCATTAGATAGCAAATGTTGGAGTGATATAAAGAAATTACCATCTCAGGAAGAAGGAAAGGAGCAGTAATCTGCTCTGAAGTAAACGCAAGCATACTGACATCTTCATTTGCCAACTTCATATCTATTCTAATAATCTACAAAATCATCCAGTAAACACGCTTTGTTCAGTGTCTATAATTCAAAAACAAAAGCAGATATTATTGGATATACAAATCAGACAAACATTTTCTTGTGAGTGGAATAGCCGGGTCCTCTCCTGCCTTTCTTGAGCTGGTCGACGCTCCCATTCACTGGTATTTGACATCTCAGCTTCCAATTCTTTTAGCTCAAGAATTTTGTTCAAACTTTCATCTAGAAGATAAATACTATCATTGATCAAGAAGTTTAAGAAATTTAGATAGACGCCCTTTTCCTCTTCTTTAGCAATCTGGGGGAGAAAAAAGGAAGGAAAAAAAATATCAGCAAATTAGAAACACATACCTGTGGTGTGAAATTACAATCTCAAACACTCTTTCCGGTTCAAAATACAGGCATCAAATAACTAAATCAAGCAACTCAAAAAGGTTGGCTAAAATTGGTTAAAGATAATATATATGTAAAAATTGCAACTTATTTTCCCATAATACCTTTATTATGGAGAGGGTAAGCGGAAGAAAGAATGGGTGGAAAAAGAGAAGAAAGAATGAAAAAACGATATGAGAGAGACATATAATTAATTAGAGATAAAAATGGGGGAAAATGCATTAAATGATTAGACATTCAAATTGCATTTTATTTAAAAAAAATTAAAAAAAAAAAAAAAAACCAAGCCCCTCAAAGATTTGATGTTTATATTTTGAACCAGAGGAAGTATATTTTATACAGTACCTGTCTCCAGGCATTACGATGACTAGGGACCTGCCACAGGTATTCTAGCAGTTCGGCAATATTATGGCGGATATTAAACTTGTCATAAAACTGCAATGCAAAAATGACGATTAAGGAAATCTTGTACTCAGATGAATGGTATCAGTTACTGCAAGATTGTAACCCTTGTAAAATGTACATGTAGATATGCACAGGTATTTAGGAAACCACACTGGGAGAATTCCAATAATATGACATATAAATGGAGGAAACGTTAGAAATACACTTCTACATTACCCCTAACATTGTTAATCAGTCATAACCTTTTTGTTATAATAAAACAAGTTTTATTTAATGCCATATAATTGTACTAAGTGAACAAAATACAAGACCTCAAATAGAACGCTTTATTAATACCCAAGCTTGAGATTCAATGCAATTATCAAGAAAAAGGGTGATTTAAGAACAATTTTGATAAGTTCCTTTCATTAATCCAGAAACATACAGCATAAGATACACAATCGGCTGTACGTCACCAAGATAGCCATGAACCGTAGCAAACCTGAGTGTGAGAACCAGTAAACTCAATGTCAACGTAAAGCTTCAAAAGATTCCTCACAAGGTACTCAAGAGACAGCTGGTGCCCTTCAAATAGAGTGGCTGTAGCAGATGACCCACTGCACAAAGGGGGTAAAAGGGGGAACACAAAAGAACCAATTAAAAACTTAAACATATCAAGGAAGATTTAGAAACAAGTGTGACAAAGAAGTTAACAGCGTCATGCAACAGAAGGACATCAAATCACCTCCTACGCGGCATCCAGCAATTCAAGACTTCAACCATCTTTGCCCTCAAATATGGATTTTTGATAAATTCAGGACTGGCCATGAACATAATAATGAAGTTCATGAATTCATCCTGCAGAACAATATTAGATGCAGCATAATGATTAATGCATAAGCAGAAAAAGTTGTATGTTAAAGAACAAAACAAATAAAGCTCCTGGAGGCAGAGTCTACCAGCACAACCCCATCTAAGGCTTTTGGAATTCGAGAAGCAAATATGAGCAATTCCATTGCATCTTCTACAAAATGCTCGGGCATCGAAGCAAATACCATTGGGCAAGTTGATGGTAGAGGCATCTTGAATCCCCCAACCAAGCCAACCAACCAAACAATCATCAAGCGGTAGAAGGAAAGAGCATTTTGAATAAATGTGTTATCCTAAGGAAAACCAGAAGAAAATAAGTCACTATCAGAACATTAAAAATTTAAGGCAGAGAAAGTTATAGCATAAACTACATATGATTTGCAAAACAAGGAGTGAACTTTTGAGACTTTAATCCATAAGATGGAAGATAAATTATCTCTGGTTATATAATGGTGCACTTGGTTCAAAAGCTCATGCTAATGAGTCATATTTCACAAGTATACTAGTAGAGGATCTTTTCAATTTCCATTTGTACCAAGCACCGCATAAGAAAATTGAGAAATGATAACCATTGCTAAGAGAGTGTAAAGGAATATAAACTTAATATTTTCTGAGTTCCATCACCGAACATGAAAACTAGGAGCGCCTGATTATCGTTGTTTCAATTGCGTGCATGCAACTGCATGTGTTAGCAGAAATAGCAATCAAATCCCAAAGAGCAAAGTGGCAGACCTACCCGCAATATCTGAGCTTCATAACAAAGCTTTTCCTGTGAGTACTCCTCTATTTGTTTTTCAAGTCGAGCTATATCTAAATCCAACTGAGGAGATGGTGACTGTGCCTGCGTGTCTTTGAGTGTTAAAAGAGAATCTTCACACCTAGAAAGATCCTGCATAAAATTTCGCTCTAAAGTTTATATTTCACAAAAGATGGAAAAATGGATAATAGATAGACTTAAAAGAATTAAAGCTCATAGAATAAAACAGAGAAGGAACCACAAGCATGACCAACATAATACAATATTAAAACATAAATGTATGCTCAAACACAAAGACATCTGATTACCTGAACTAAGTGTTTGAAGTCAGAAAATGCTTTTAAGAGGCCTAAGTTGAGAACTCTTGCAGTCATAAAGAAGCATTCGCAAATAAATGGGTATTTTGTCTTTTCAGCATGTGATACAGGCTTTGCATTTGCAAGATCACCAGCATTGTTACTACCAGAACTTGTTGCTTCCTGAGATTGCTGCAGACGTTTCTCGCCATCATTACTCTTTAGCCATTCAGCAACTTCCTCAGAAGATGCATGAAGGGCAGTCAAGCCTCTAAAACAGATTCATAACCCAAATTTAGATACAGAGAGATATAAGAAGCTTGCAGAAGAAATTTAACGTTCACTTTTAAAAGCCTTCACCTTAAATCCAGACGGTTTGAATAGTAGACATATTTTGCATCAATCTTATCCCTTTTTGTTAAATTTGCATCTAAAAATGGCTCACAGAGACGAAGCATAACAGCACTGAGATTTACAAACATGCCTGAACTTGCACAAGTTATAGGGTCAACCTGCTCAAAAAGGGGGGGGGGGCATAGGTCAAATAGGAGATACTGCCACAAGTTATTAATGTCTTATCATTAGAGATAGAACAGGTATGAGTTAAAAAAGATCAACTAAAACTTATACAATAAAAAATGCAAATATAGATATATAACTATATGTAAGTATTTAATTATATAAAACAACAAAATAGAAGATAATAGATTGAAAAGTTCTACATTCTTACGTGTTTTATCGTATTTTTCACCACACTTCAAATTATGATGCAGTGTGCAGAAGAAAGTTACCTGTATATGAGCCCTGGATGCGTTCTTATTGATTACCTCAGAAAGATACTCAAGTACATTTTCACGAGTATCTGTACTTTTCAGAAGAATGAGGAGAACCTCACTCAGGCCATCATATAAGTTATTCATGACAGTTTTAATCGTGGTGAATGAAGATAGCAAATCAGGTGGACGGCGAGTAGATGCATCCGAAAAGCATTGCTGCCTTTTTTTCAGAAAAAATAAAGGAGGAGTCAGTTTGTTAATAAACTGAAGTCAAATTCAAAACCAAGTAGAAAATAACCCATCCAAACAAAGTCCAAAAGGTGCAAGGGTTAACAATATAGACTCCAACAGGAATTAGCTAGCAGAGAGTAACTTACGCATAAAAGCCAATGAATAAAATGGCAGAGGGATACTACATATGAGTATGACATATTAAGTAAAACAAAAAAGGCAAATAAAAAGAGAAGAAGGACCATAAGTGGGTAATAAACGATGCAAGGGGCAAACAAGTAATCCATCCACTTAGCATAAATGAGGCTGACAAGGTGAAAGCAAGAATATTGTGCTGAAAGTTCCCCAACAAGCACTAGTATGAATGCCCAAAAATACGAAAACCCAAGGTTTCTTTTATTATTAGCAGAGGCATGCATTACGCTTCAAAGCTAAGATTGGCAGAGGAGAGGCGACTACATGAGATTCAGTCATTGGTTCGACAAGGCCAGCAGTTAAATGCAAGATAATTCAACTAAGGAAGCAAGGTATGGTAGTAATAATTTATTAGGAAAAGGAAAAAAAAAAAAGGAACTTAATCGACTATACTTACACTATATTAAAGTACCAGGCCTTCTCCTTTACCTTTTTCAGCGATGGAGGATGGGGTTGGGAGGGACATTGATAAATTCACCAATAAACAAATGCAGTGCATTTTAGATTACAACACTGTCTGCTGTTTAACATCCGCCGGGTCCCAGCAAAATATGAACTTGAAACATTTAAAACAATTACCGGGAAAAAAGTTTTCTAATTCTCCATCTTAACATATTTTGAAAACTAGAAAGCTATAGGACTAAAGAAACTGTTCAATTGATACTTCTCAAGCTATATGGAAAGGATCCTCGAGCTTGACAACATTCCAATTAAATAATCATCTGTTGAGAGACCATCATACTGACCACAGATCTGTTCCCCAGAACCAAAGAATAGAAATAATAAACAAAATAACATCTACTTATTAGGTATAGCTTTTATATTTGCTTAGCTGATTCAGATCGCTGAACTACATTTAGTAGAATGAAAGTAACACTAAAACAAACAGGAAACTAATCTAATTTTCTTTTCAGTACCGTTCTCCTTTATTACCAATGGCAGACAATGAGAAAAGAACCAAATGATCACCAACAATTTCGATTAGATATTAATGTACCCAAAAAATTTACTTTTAAACCATAGAAGCCAAAAGTTCACTCACCCAACGTCTGGCTGACTCTTGAAAAAGTCGTGATCAGGAAGAGCGCTAACATGCAAGAAAGGGCCTAAAATACTTGTCATTTCAATTGCACGTCCATTCATGTAAACTCCTTTAGGAATCCACCAATTGTGGCTTACAAGAGACTTTGCACCAATGGGAAATCTAACCAGGTACAGCAATGCCCTCAAAGAGTCTTGGAAATTCCCAAGAGCTGAAACTTTCATCACACTACCCCTCAACTCCTCATACAACCCTTTCAATATTGGATCCAAACTATCAGAGTCTGAGTCCCTGAAAAATTCCTCCAGAAACCCAGGCGGGCTTTTAACTCCGCCAGCATTGCCACTCCCACCAAAGCCACTGATGGTGCCACCGACCTCAGAGAGAATGAGTGGTAACAATGGCGAGTTCTGATGTTTACTCGCACTAGAATTTCCACTTTGAAACATGTCAGGATTCGCCAAATGAATTCTACAATATGCTACACACAGCTTCTTTGCTTGTTTCACCACGGATTCCATCTCACTCCTCAAACTTTTATCTTTCATGTTTGCAATTTTTTTACCCTCATCGTGCGCTCGTTGACAGCAACTGATTAAGTACTGAAAAGGGGATTCAGCAGAAGAGAAACTTCCAGAAAGCCGATCAATCAGAACCCGTTCCATCAAGTCCCGTGAAAGCCTCAATTCGTTGCCCTCGCTGAGAATCTCAGCTGCTGTCAATTCCAAGTAAACGACTCTAGGATCGTTTCCCGTGGCATCAGTGAGGGAAACGAGAAAAATTTTCCTGAGAATTATATCCTCAACTTCTTGAGGAGTCCTCTGGGGTTTTGCGGCCGCCATATCGTAACCCGAAGGAATCGTCTACTGCTTCTACAATTTCTTCACCGTTTCTCACTCAATAATCAAGAAATGAAGAGGCTAACAATAAAAAGAACTAATTTTCAACGAAAATTTGCCAAGGTAGAAAGAGAAAAGGATATAAAATCTGGGTATTAAAAAAGATTTAAGTGTAAGGAGACGAATTGAACTTGGACGGAAGGAGGGGAGAACCAGAACCTTCACTTGTTAGATGGAGAAGAGGACCCGAAGGAGAGCAAGACTTCCCCCAAGGATAACCAAGAACGTTTGCTTCATCAAACTCCCTTCTCTACTAAAGCCAATTTTCTCACTTATGTGAATATAATACCCGAAAAAAATATGATATAATGTAATGTAATGGCAGCATTCATTCAATCAAAATATTGAGACAATTCTTTTTTTTTTTTTTTCCTGTTTTTATTGCCAGTATATTTGTCGGTGTTATTTAGTACTGGGAAAACGGACCGGCCCTTGACGGGCTCGGGCTTAAACGGGCCGGCCCGTTTAAGCCCGAGTTCCAAAAATAAGTTATTTTTTCAAGCCCGGCTCGTGAGATGACGGGCTTGGGCTAGCCCGCGGGCTTTTGGTCTTTTTAATTAAACTGATTTTTTTTTATTTTTTTGTATATTTTATCAAAATAATAAAAATGAAACAATAAAAATTACTAATAAAAGGTATAAATATAAATAAAATTGAGTCACAAATATAAACATTATCATGTCTAAACATATATTACAGTATAATAAGGTCTATTGAATAAACAAACTAAATAGAGGACAGACATAAACAACTAAATAAGCATTAAGTTCAGTAGATAATTACAATACGGATGATCTAGTTTGATTATAAATAATTAACAAAAAAGTTTAACTAACAAACATAGTATGCATAAAGAATAATCATTTATCATACCGACAAAAAAGAAAAGAGTCCATCATCCTTAGTTCTAAATTTATTTCTACTATAAAAATGATATAGATCTTTATTTTAGTTTAAAAGATTTTTTGATCAATTATATTTCAAGTATAAAAAATATGAGAGAATGATAAATAAAGATTGTAAAAATTACAGATACAGTATTTTAATAGGTTTTGACAACTTATAAATAACAATATATTTTTATGAATATACCTAGTTTTAAATTTTGCAATTTTCATGTTTTTTTGGTTATTTTTCCCACAACTATAGTGATTCTTTTTTTTTTTTTGTGAATGCTATCTATGTGAGCTGCCAAGATAAGTAAAACTAAGAGTATGCAATGTTTAAAATGTTAGGGTTTTCTTTTTTAAGTTAAGAAAAAAAGACAGAAATTTAAAAAAAAAAATTGGCGGGCCTAAACGGGCCGGCCCGCGACCCTACAGGGCCGGCCCGTTTATTTTTCGGCCCTACAGGGCTGGCCCTTTTAAGCCCGACTTCCCTTTCAAGGCTCCAAAATACAAGCCCGGCCCTCGGCTTAAACGGGTTTAAACGGGCTGGCCCGACGGGCTCGGCCCGTTTTCCCGGCTCTAGTGTTATTTGACTTGTTCCATATGTAACTTTCTTACCCTAACTCCTTATTAGCTATTACCTCCAATCCTAATTATAAAATCCTGTTTGATTTTTATTTTGATCCTAAATATAAGATCCCAATCCACTTTGTCTCTCATATTTATCCACTTTTTCCAAGATAGTCCTTCTAACAATGGTAGTTCTAACCAATACACTTGATTAGTAAAGATATTTTAGGAAAGACAACACCTATTTATGACAAATAACTAACTTAACTAAATTCCTTAATCTCTCCAAATTAGTCAACTAGGTGTTATAATTAGGACCGGAGGTAGTATTTTACTTGTTTACTTAATTACTTATGTTTTCTAGCTATGCCGTGCTCTAGTTTCAATTTTGCGTATGCATATATAATTTTGTGAACCAACTATTTTTTTTCTAGTTATTTTTTCGTTACTATATATTTCTTTATTTTGTAGTATATACTTATGACATATTTTTTGCCAACTATTTATGACTTATTTGGCTCATTATATTTTATGACAATTTTTTTATTTGCTAATTTATTTACTTTTATTATTGTTATTTAGTAACCAGTAGGACTAAATTTTCTTTACCATCAATTTGGTACGAAGGATTTAGAAATGAGGAAAATTTTTGTAACATTTTCCCTCCCCTCCCCTCCCCTCCAAAATTGGGAGAATTTGGAGGGAAAGCGTAATATTTTGGCTTGTGCTGATTAATATGTTCATATTATTTTTTAATAATCCCATGTTACCCTTCATTGCCGAATTTTAATGTGATTTGGTATACTTATGGATTCAATTATGCCTATTTTATCTCATTTATATGCTATCAAATATTAAAAAAAAAAGTTGCTATTAAATATATTTTAATTTAATTTTCAAGTGCAAATCAAGCATTCAAAACAAAAACATACAAATAAGTCTTTTATATCGTCTTTGAAAAGGTTATTTGACTATTCGTATCAACAGCGCAGAGAAAAATGAAAACTAAAAAAATACTCAAATTAAATATATTTACTTCATGAAACCATATTTTGGATATAAATATAGTTATAGTTATTGGATATATAGTAGCTATTAATTATGTATTATCATTATATTTATTTAATTTTGTTAATTATAAAAGTTGATCTCATATATTAAATATTATTTATAATTATATTTTATTAATTACTCTATAAAATTTGTAAAAATCAACTTAAATAATATAAAAGCAAAGTTGTCCATACAAAGATATTTTACCTTCCCTCCCTTTCTAAACCAAACAAGGTAACATTAAAATTCTTCTCCTCCCTTCCTCTTGTATTAATCCAAACAAGGTAATATTAAAATCTCGCTCTCCTTCCTTTCATCTCCTTTCTCTCTATTAAAATCTCTCCCCTTCTATCTCTTCTATTAAGCTAAACACACCTTTAGTTTCTGAAAAACTGGCAGGTATTTAATTTTTTAGTGAACTTTTTATCTTAGAAAAAACTCTTAAAAAGACATTTAAATAACTCATATTTTTATTTGGATTATTAAATTTAGAGCTGGGAAAACGGGCCGAGCCCGTCGGGCCGGCCCGTTTAAACCCGTTTAAGTCGAGGGTCGGGCTTGTATTTTGGAGTCTTGAAAGGGAAGTCGGGCTTAAAAAGGCCAGCCCTGTAGGGCCGAAAAATAAACGGGCTGGCCCTATAGGGCCGCGGGCCGGCCCGTTTAGGCCCACCAATTTTTTTAAAATTTTTATATTTTTTTCTTAACTTAAAAAAAGAAACCCTAACATTTTAGACATAGCATAATCTTAATTTTACTTATTCCAACCGTTCACATAGATAGCATTCACAAAAAAAAAAAGAATCATTATAGTTGTGGGAAAAATAACCAAAAAAACGTGAAAATTACAAAATTTAAAACTAAACATATTCACAAAAATATATTGTTATTTATAAGTTGTCAAAACTTGTTAAAATACTGTATGTGTAATTTTTATGGTCTTTATTTGTTATTCTCCCATATTTTTTATACTTGAAATATAATTGATCAAAAAATCTTTTGAACTAAAATAAAGATCTATATCATTTTTATAGTTAGAAACAAATTTAGAACTAAAGATGATGGACTCTTTTCTTGTTTATCGGTATGACAAATGATTATTCTTTATGTATACTATGTTTGTTAGTTAAACTTTTTTGTTAATTATTGATAATTAAACCAGATCATCTACATTGTAATTATCTACTGAACTTAGTGCTTATTTAGTTGTTTACGTCTGTCCTCTATTTAGTTTGTTTATTCAATAGACTCTATTACACTGTGATATATGTTTAGACATGATGATGTTTATATTTGTGAGTTAATTTTATTTATATTTATACCTTTTATTAGTAACTTTATTGTTTTATTTTTATTATTTTGATAAAATATGCAAAAAAATTATAAAAATTTCATTTTAGTTAAAAGGGCTAAAAGCCCGTGGGCTGGCCCGAGCCCGTTATCTCGCGGGCCGGGCTTGAAAAAATGAGTGATTTTTGAAATTCGGGCTTAAACGGGCCGGCCTGTTTAAGTCCGAGCCCGTGACGGGCCGGCCCTGCAGGGCCGGGCCAACCCGTTTTCCCAGTACTAATTAAATTTATCAAACTCCTACTTAAGTCACATGACCTAAAAAGATATTTTAAAATTTTATGAAATGACTTGAATACCACTTTCATTAGAAACCAAAAGAAAATTCTAAATCTTTCAACAGAATTTGAGTACAATATCACTTTGAAAATTAGTCAGTTTAATTGCACAGTTAACAAGTTTCAATTCTAAATTAATAACTTTATATCTTTAAAATACACTTTAAATGAGGCTTTAAATAAAACTCAATTATAATACAATCTTGAAAATTAATTTTTTCTGTTCATGATTAACACATTTCAATCCTAAATTCACAATTTTTTGTCTCTAGAACACATTTATATTAAGTATTTGAATAAAGTTTAATCACAATACAACTTTAAAAATTAATATGTTATATTTCACATTTTACATGTTTCAATTCTAAATTGATAATTTTTTATCTTCAAAACATAGTTGTATTAAGTGTTTGAATAAAACTTGATCACAACACAAACTTAAAAATTAACAAGTTCAATTACACAGTTAACAGGTTTCAATTCTGAATTAACAGCTCTCAATTCCAATCCATGAAGATATTATTACTCTTAATTCTTCAAATGTCATTCCCCCTCTTATGATTTTTTTATCCTTACACTCTTTCCATTATATTGACTTTAACCATTAAAATTCTTGACAAATTATCCACTAACATGGGGAAAAAAAAATTCGCTTGTTGTTGTTGGTCCCCAGGTAGATATCATTTCTTATTCTAACGTGCTAAACAAGTCATCACTTATCATAAAGTTTGTTCTTGGCCATGATCAACGTCAAAATTTTTCACTCAACAAAATAGAATCTAACTTTCAAAATTAACAATTTCAAATCAGGTTTTAATACGTTTTACTTAGCTATTAACAGCAAATGCGTCCCTCATAACTATTATTATTATCACTTTTTATAATCAACATGACAAAATTTACAATTTCAAATTAGGTTTTAACATACTCCACTTAGCTATCAACAAAAAACATGACTCTCATAGTTATAATCACAATTACTTCTTACAATTGGCATAACAAAATTCACTTTCAAATTTTAACAACTTCAAATTATATTTTAACATGTTCCACGTTCTACTTAGCCATTAATA